CCCCCCCCCCCCCCCCCCAATAATACAATCTCTTGTACGGAATTTCACCTTCATTTTTATGCTCCACCACCACCAATTTCTATCTAATGGTGTTTATCACGTTTAGGAAGAATTATTCAATGAGACCATCTCTCTTATATTCTAGCAACCTTAGTGATTGAAGAGGAGAACGAAGCATTCTTTATAAGCGCGTAGAAACCTCTCTTTAAAATTGTGAGGCAGGCAATGGATGGATGAGAACACCAAAAGTTATGGGCTTGGACTGTTACAAATGGTATCAGAGCTAGACATTGAGCGATGTGCTAACGAGGAGACTGAGCCCTGAAAGAGGGTCGACACGAGGTGGTGTGCTAGACAAGAACATTGGTTCTCAAAGGGGGTGGATTGGGGTCTCACATCGATTGGAGAAGGGAACGAGTGTCAGTGAGGACGTTGGGACCCAAATGAGGGTTGATTGTGAGATCCCACGTCGATTGTGGAAGAAAACGAATCATTATTTATAAGGGTGTGAAAACCTGTTTCTAGTAGACGTGTTTTAAAATTGTGAGATTGACGGCTATACGTAAAAGATCAAAACGGATAATATCTGCTCAGAAATCGTGGTGGGGGACGCGGGTGATAAGCATTAGAGGAAGAGGGAGTGAAAAGGGCAAGACATGCAGGCGTGTGAGAAAGAAGAGGACAAATGTATGAGAAGCATTACACATTAGGGAGATATATATGAGATATATAGAAGAGCAAAGGTGCAAACTTTTCCCTACCAGAATTTCTCCTGAGCCAAAAAAGGCATTATACACACACCACTATATTCAAATATTGCATCTTACTCAATCATTTCCCCATCCATTACCCTAAAACCCCATCCCCCATATCTAATATAAATACATATATCCTTTGATCCTTCACTTTCTCCGCTTCAAAATGGAAGGGGATGCTTCAAACTCATCATTATATATCAAACCAAGTTAAGAAAAGTAGTGTACTAATAATGATTATTGGCGATGGGCGGGAGAAAGAGGATGTAGGGGTGTTAGGAATCACGACTCTCCACAATGGTATGATATTATCCACTTTGAGCATAAGCTCTCGTGGGCTTGCTTTGGACTTCCTAAAAGGCCTAATACCAATGGAGATAGTATTTTTCACTTATAAATCCACGATCTTCTACTAAATTAACCAATGTGGGACTCACTCTCAATAATCCTCAACCGGTTCGTGAAATTTGGTCAAAAACATTGTGATTTCATGAATGGGCACGCAAAGAAAGAAGAAAGAAGGACAAGAATCTTATAAAGTTAAATAACCATTCCCTTACACACCACACCAACCATCTCTGCATTCACTCCAATTCTGCTGCTCTTGTACCATTTTATTCAATCATTTCTATATCTTCGTCCCCATCTTTGTGGGAATCTCACTGAATACTATACTCATTGGGGCATATTTGGGGAACAACGTTGTTGTTGTTCTTGTTTTAAAACAGAACCAAACTTCAAATCAACTTCCCCAACTTACTCATAATTCAATTCATAATAAATAATAAAAACTGGGCCGGGAACTGAGGTAGGCAATGGATGGATAAGAACACCAAAAGGCCCAGCCCAATAGTGACAACTTTTCGCTGTTCAAATGATTGTTCGTGGATTTGCTTCATCCAGCTCTTCCCACAGTTTTGGAGGCATCCCTCCCTTTTCTCCTGTCTTCAAATTTGTCATTGGATTCGAATGTTTCCTGGTCAAATTAAGATTCTTTTGTTCATGATTTGCATAATCTTCAATTTAGCTTTTACTCATATAATACAATCAAACCATAAATTATTTCTTTTTGAAAACATAACTTAGAATCCAAGGCATAACTTAGAATCCAAGGCTTATAACTCCTAATTCGGTTTCTTTCTCTCAAAAGTAAAGCGTCCATTCACCCTCCGGATTAGGTGCCCACAGCCACCTTGACTCAAAAATCCCCGAAAATGTTCGACCAAAAACACACTAAAAGTAATTCAATTATGTTATCCAAACGACACTATCTTACAATTTATGAATTCAAATGAATCATAAACACTTCATCAAATTTCGATTCAAACGTACTAAAAATGAAATTAAGGAATTGTTGAGAATTATGGGAGGGAGTTCATATTAGCTAATTTAGGGAATTAAGGAATACACACTAAAGCCATGATAGCTTATACTCTATAATAGATAATATCATATCATTGGGGAGGTTTGTGATTACTAACAGAAATAAGAAGACGAAGACTCCACCTTTCCTAAACGAGATTTTCTTCTCACTAACCCCACTGATGATTCCTTCCCAATTGGGTTAGTTTGTTGAGAAGATGAATTAGCACAAAATTCAGCAAAAATGTCCATGAAGAACTTGTCCACAATCTCAAGATACGTTGGACAAGAGAGACGAGAGTAGTAATGAAGAATCTCTTCAATATCCAAAGCATGATCCACATCTCTAGCGTCTAGCTTTTCCAACTCTTTCATTTTCTTAGCAACCAAACACATTCTTCTCTCATCATACTCTTTCAAATTTTCTTGCGTTTTCCTTTGATGGGTCACTCCAATTTTGATGCTATCTTCATTTTTCTCAACCTTTTTCATCTGGGTCTCGTCCATCGTCTTCGAAAAACGAACTGCATTGCCATTACTATTCTTCATAAAGGATGAGTCTTTATCCATTTCGTGGCCGATGGAGAAGGGCGGCGGCGCCTTGGGAAGCCGTTGGTAGGTATTGGAGAAGAAGGATTTGAAGTTGCATAAGGTTTTGTTGAAGAACTTCTTGGTGTTGGCAATGGAGGCTCGTAGCATCATGGGTGGGCGTTGAATTGTTGTATATTTGGGTACAAATGTGGGAAAGAAGAAGAACACAATATGTTTGAATAAATAGGAAGGGGTTTGAAAAAGAAAGTTGAGGAGGCGACGGCGATGGATTACTGTTCTTTAATTTCTTCTTTTGATGATGGATACATCACACGCTCCGTTTGATTTTGGGTGTGTTTTTGTTTCGTTCACCAATTTGAAGAAATCCATCCAAAGGAAAGAAATCGTTCTCTATAATAGTATGATATTGTCCATTTTGAGCATAAGCTCTCGTGACTTTGCTTTGGACTTCTCCAAAAGATCTCGTACGAAGAAGATAGTATTTCTCACTCTTCCACTAAATTAACCAACTCGGACTCACTCCCAATACTCTTCAACATATTTAACTCAGAAGGTTTGTTGTTGCGTCTCTAAAGCTACCACTCCCCCTGGTTGGTGCATTGAGACTTTTTAGGAGGAGCAAAAAGGAGCGGTATTGTTCCTTAAAAATGAGTTCCCTTTTTCTTTCTATTCAACGGACACTTTTTAGGTTTATAATTTTATTAAAAGGCTATGATTTCTAAACAAACTAGAAACGAGTTGGAAAAAATTTAGAGTGGTTAATTTCTTTTATACGCAATTAAAATTTTGTTGATTCACAAATAGAAAAAAATATTGATTATATTAGAGAATTTTCGAGGTAATATGTTACAATCAACGTCTAGAGTACTCTAATGAGAAGGGTTACCAAGAATATGAATATAATGAATTTTGAAAATGGAGAGGCATATGGTGACATATTTTAGGGGCAGCGTAGCTTAGAGGGGAGAGGTATGTGTTTGTGTGGGCCAAAAGTAGAATGGTAAGTGGAAGAGAGTGAGGATTGAAGGCAAGACAAAACTTGTTTGACCTAACCATTAACCATGGACCACTTTTCTTTTTTCTTTTTGGTTTTGGTTTTGGTTTCAACTTACTCCTCCCCTTCACCCTCTTTTCATTCACGGGTTTCGTTTCGATACCTTATATTTGCATCATTACTGTTCAAATTGTAATAGCTTAACTTCACCGCTGGTAGATATTGTGTTTTTTGAACTTTTCTTTCTAAACATAAATTTCTACACCTCTATAAGAAATACTCCATTCCTCTCTCCAACCAACGTGCAATCTCACAATTCATCCCATTGTGAGCCTAACGTCTTTGTTAGCACACTGCCCGGTGCTTGGATACCATATGTAACCGCTCAACGAGAAATTGAGTAAAAGAAGAGTTATTTTTTAAAAAATGTGTAAGAAAAAGTTGAAAAAGAGTTTTTGTTTGTGGTGTAGTTGCGTCATTATCAGGAAACAAAAGAGAAAGAAAGAAGGATAGATTTAAAACTGGGAATACTGTAATTAATGAGCTGGTTGGTGGAATCCAGAAAACTGAGTGATTAATGGATATTGATGATTCATCAATAATGTTGAGTATTTGTTTTGGCATGGAAACAAAAAGGGTAGGCCTGGAACAAGCCCATCATAGAGACGTGGAGTCCATCAGTGTTGGGTGCAGGAAGGCCAGAAAGGGCAGAAAAGGCAGCCATCCAGCAGCAGCAGCAGGTAGCATAGCAGCAGAAGCAGGCTCAAAAACCCAAAAAATGCTATAACTTAACACTGTATTTAATGAGATGAAGAGGCCCAATGGGTTCCCATCTGCCAAAGATCCAGACATTCCCACCATTGCTTCCACCATCCGCCCTTTCACTATCCTCATTTAACTCAATGCGTCCTTAGATTCTTCTAGATGAACCAACACCTACGAACCCTTGTATGCAATCTTCTTGTTGTTCTACGTGAATTCAAAAATTTTAGATTGTAACCCACTCTTTGTCTTTCCCTTTGTTCCCTTTTGGTTTGACAATGACCCTTCAATTCCCATGCTAACCCCCCCCTATTACCCTCTTCAAACTCTGCCACCCCTTTTGCCTCTATTCCTTTTCCCAATCCCCATTACCCTCTACTTTTACTCCCCTTTTTAAGTAACCAACTCACCCAAGTTACTACTGCCTTCACCCTCCCGCCCATGTGATCACCCTTCTTCCCCCCATAAACTCATCGTTATTAGATGTTATCCATTTTGACCTATTATGTATCGCCATCAACTTCATGATTTTCACACTCTTATAAGAAATGTTCCGTTTCCCTCTTCCACTCTTATACGACACAATCTTATTTGTAACAACCCAAGCTTATGGTTAGTAGTTATTATCTGTATCAGTCCGTTAATGTCATCATACCATTTGTAACAACTCAAGCTCATTGCTAATAAATATTGTCCGCTTTGGCTCGTTACGCATCTCTGTTAGTCTCATGGTTTTAAAACGCATCTGTCAGGGAGAGGATTTTATATCCTTATAAGTAATGCTTCGTTCCCCTCTCTAGCCAATATGGGATCTTACAATCCACTCCCTTGGCCCTAGTGTCTTTGCTAGCACACCGACCAGTGTCTGTATCTAATACCATTTGTAACAGCCCAAGTTCACCACTAGTAAATATTGTTCATTTTGACCCGTTACATATCGTCGTCAGCCTCATGATTTTAAACATGTCGACTAGGGAGAAGTTTTCACACATTTATAAGAAATGTTTCGTTTATCTCTCCAACTGATGCAAGATCTCACAAACTCCTCTTGATTTTTTTTTTTGTTCAAAGGCCAACACCCTTTTCACTACCTGATACAAGACAGCAGCAGGACACATCAAATCAACTTCTTAGAATAATAACGTATAAATACCAAAAAAATCAAACTCATTTATGGTCTGCTGCTCACTTCGGCTTTTGTTAAGAATTCATGTCTCTTCTGAAGAACAGCTTGTGTGTTTATGTTCTTGTTTGAAGAACAGCTTGCGAGTGTTGCTGAGAAAAACATGATATTTGGCTCTGTTCTTATCCATTAACCTTAACTATCATATATCTTAAAGTCAAACTTAGGGATATATTATAGTTATAGTTTGTCTTTATCCTTGCTTTTTGTTTTTGTGTTTTGAAACCAAGATGGCCACGTAGGCATTTACATGCAGATTTTAATTTTGAAGTGAAGGGTATTATTAGAATGAAGAAAATTCAAATGGCAAGCACAATGAATGGTTGTTGTGAAGAACAAAACAAGATTGGACGCTGTTTTCAATATATATGATGTTCTTTGTTGATTGACATTTTTGTACAATTTTGTATTCTTTCTGCGGCGAAGGATGGTTTGAAGCGATTCAAAATCACAGAAATCTGAACAACTTTATGTCTTTTTATTTCTTTTAAGCCATTGGCCTTTTCCATCTTTCAACCCTTTTGTCTTGACAAGTCTAAAGTGTGTGTGTGTGTATGTGTTGTATGTGTATGTGTGTGTTTGTGAAGTTACCTATTTCAAAAGGAGTCTGTTCTGCACCAAAAGGAGCACTATTTTAAGTCTCTATCTTCTTATTCTTCCCTCCAAAAACTCCATTTTTTCAAAACTTGCTTCTCCAAAAATCTTCCATCTTTCCTGCTTTTTTCTGTTCATTGAAACAGACCCAGATTGAGTTATATGCATAATCTGAAAGATTAATATCATTAGAATCAGAAGTAGATATTACACACACAATAAGGGATAAAACTTTGATTATTTGGTTAATAATCAATGGAAGTTAGGCTTAATTCATTTTCTTTTTGCTGACAAACAAAGAGATCAGAGTTTTGATGTTCATCAAGATCCCCAGTCGGAAAACAAAGCCTCCCAAATCTCTGTGAACACCTCAAGAATCACATTATGGTGATGGGGGGAATTCAAAGAGAGGAAACACTGCAAGAGCTGTTCGAGATCGTTAGCAGAGAATATCTGTTTCTCGACAATCATTTCTAACATTGAGGTTCTAAAATCATTATATGGATCGCTTGATTTCTTCACCACTGCAAAGCTATCTTTCACTTTTCCTTTCAACGGCAACACACCCATTTCAGAACACCGGCTCCGACCTCCTTTTCTCCGGCGAGACTTGTTCCGTCGGTGAGACGCCGACGAATCAGAAGAACGCGATTTCGAGGAGAAAAGAGTGTCCGTTTCGTCGTCGTCATCGTCCTCGCTACTGTACCACCACGTACCGCCGAAGTTCGACTCCACCGAAGACGAACTAAACGGGCAGAACGGACTCTCCCTCTTACTCTGTTTCCTCTGTTTCTTCTTCTTCTTCTTCTTCGTCGCCGTCGTCGTTTTCTCAGAGAAGGGTTTGGAGGGTGAGATCGGAGAAGCTGGAGGGCAGGTCCAGCCACCGGAAATTGCAGAGGGGAAAGGGGCTAGAGGGAAACGGTGGGAAATTTTCCGTCGGGGGAGAAGGAAATCACGTGAGAAAGCAGGGCTTTCGGCGGTTTCAGAGGAATACTCCGGCTGGATCTTACGGAAACTAACGTCGTGCGGGGACGGAATAAAGACGGCTTTGTGGATGATATCGGACAGATTACGGGAACGGCAAGAGGCGAAAGAGGATTGGAACATGCGAGGGAGACGGAGCTTGAAGCGGGTATCCATGGGAGAAAGAAAGCGGAAAATGGCAGAGTGTGAAGAAGGAACAACAAATGCATGACAAACCAAAAGTGGGAGAGTGCTTATTTAAACCACGACCAAAACTTCCCCAGCTGTACCTGCTTTTCCACGTGGCCAACCTCATACTGCCACGTGTCATGCTGATTCATTATTTAATATTTATTTTCTTCAAAATAGTATTATAAATATCCACATTTAGCAACAAGTTTTACTAAAAATAAAATAAAATAGATATTCTGAAACTTGCCATATACAAAAGGCAATGTGGGTATTATTATTATTATTTATTACCCTTTTACCAATTCTTATTTGTCATCTTCCCAACAAAAAAAATAAAAATAAAATAAGAGTACCCTTTCAACAAAGCAACAAGCTTCAATGATATGTATCAATTGAGTCTTCAACACATGTATCTATTCATATATGTATCTACTAGACTTAGAATACGACATTCAGGTATGTTTAAATAAAAAGATTGAAAAATATAATTAAGGGCATGAAAGGAAAGGAGGCACGAGGCACCCGGCTCGACTACGTCATTTTCTACTGTATTGTTGGGTCAAAAGACGTTTTTAAGTTATTAAAAACTGGTTGGTGGGTTAGATCATGTTTTAATTTCAAATTCAAATTTGAATTAGTGCCCTAAAATCTGTGAAATTTAATCCATTTTCATTTAGGATATTGTCAACTAAATCAACTAAATCACACTATGTTTCAAACATTTTTTTGAATAAAAAAAATAGTTAGTGGATGTCTTTATTTGAATGTATTAAAAAAAATGAGAAGAAAGTCTTCTAGTTATGAAATAAAATAATTAAAACTGGAGATGATACACAAATTCATGATTCTTATTATTTATGTTTTCATTATATGATATAATGTAAATGTTGATGAAGAAAGAGAGGGAAAAGTGATGGTGACAGTGATATATTTTAGTTGGATTTTGGTGAGAAACTTTGGGTGTACTAATTTTGAGATTGGGAAACAACTTTTAGATGGATAAAAACAGGAGGGTTGAGACAAGGAATTTGAACTCAATTTAACGTTCAACTTTTGTCTTATATTATTGTCTTTTATTTCGCTCTGAAATCAAGTGCGTGCGAGATTTCGTGTTGGAAAAGATAACAAATATAGATGAAAAGATAATAAGTATAGATAAAACCGTGGAGTTGACGGTCATATATAACGACATGACTAAATGTTTGTGATGACCTCGTGTTGTTGCATCACGGTCATCAAAACTTCAACTTTTCAATTGGGTTCACCCAAAAACAAGAAATCGAAATGAATGGGTGTGTTTTGTTCTTGTTTTCCCAAAAATTGAGTAAATAATTGGGATGAAAAATGTTGAAAAAAGTTGAGAAAGGGTGAAGAGAAGAGCATCTGAAAGTGGAAGAAAGTTCCAAGAAGAGAAAAACACATGAACAAGTGCAGATTTTAGCCTTTTTTTTTAATATACAACCACCAATTCGAAACCAATAGCTAACAGACAGTCTTTTACAGTACTTTGATTCGCCTCTTCTACTTGAATTTTGCCTCATGACAACAACAAAATATACGCAAACCATGGATTTCCTGACCCACTTTTCATTCCCACCCTTGACTTGACCAATCATACATCCCCCCACAAAGTATTTCAAATTTTCAACCCAAAAGTTTAATCCCAACTAAGCTATGTTCATCTTAATAATAAATAATAAACTTTGATCCTATGAGAGTTCATCAGCTCATCAGCTCATCAGCTCATCCATGATGATCCACAATGCTACGCAAAACATGAACATAAAGTGATGAAGAAATAAGGGAAAAGGTAGAGGAGGAGGAGGACTACAACGTCTCTTCAATCTGCACTGGCGTGGTACTGTTTGTGTCCTTGTCCTGGAATAGGACCTCCATCTCCTCCAAGCTTTTTCCTTTAGTCTCTGGCAAAAAGAAGTAAAAGAAGAGGGTACCCAGTGCCATTATTCCCGATAGCACCATGAACATGCCTCCAAACGTGATCTCTTTTGATATGCTCAGAAATGTCATCGATACCACTCCGCTCACCAATCTGTTCACTGATACCGCCAGGCTCGACCCCTGCGCCCTCATCCTGTTCGGGAATATCTCCGATGAGTACACCCACGCTATTGGCCCAAGCCCAATTGAAAATAATGCCACGTCCCCACATAATGCTATTATGCTCAATACTACGGCCCATGTTGGCCTGCCTTTCCCCATTTCCATTGCTTTTGAGCCCAGGGCTAGTAAGCCTAGCGCCACTGTCATCCCGGCTGACCCCACTAGTAAAAGCGGCCGCCTTCCTAATCGGTCTAGGTACAGTGCTGAGAATAGAACGAAGCAGGTCTTTGTAATGCCCATTACCACGTTCACGCTGAACAGATGCCGTTTTTGTTGGATTCCGGCTGCGCGGAATACTTCCGGTGAGTAGTACATTACGGCGTCGTTTCCTGATGCTTGCATGAAGAAGTTGATTCCGATGGCGGCTATTAGTATTCGGCGGATTGGCTTTGTGGGTTTTATCAGTAGTTCCTTCCAAACCCCTTGTCCGTTCCATTTGCCGCCGGGCGCGGCTGCGGCTACGGCTTCGGTTATTGACTTCAGTCTCTCCTCTGCTTCGATTTCGTTGGTGGAGATTTTGATTAAGACCTTTTTGGCTTCTTCCGATTTGCCCTTCATGACTAGCCAACGCGGGGATTCGGGCATTGTTAGAACGCCCAATCCGACGCCCAGCGCTGGTATTCCGGCGATTCCGAGCATGATTCTCCAGTTGATGTGCAGTGGTAGGCCGGACAGAGCGTAGTTGATGATGTAGCCCAGTAAAATACCGAACGTGATGAAGATTTCCGGGAATGAACTGAGAAGGCCGCGGGATGTAGCCGGAGAGAGCTCCGCCGTGTAGACAGGGGCGATCATGAGGGCGTAACCGACGCCGACGCCAGCGATCATACGACCGACTAGGAGAAGAGGAAAAGATGGGGCGAGACCCATTAACAACGCGCCGATTAGAAACGTGGTGGATGCGAGGAATGTTGTGTAGCGCCGGCCGATTGAATCAGAGGTCCGGCCGGAAGCGAGAGATCCGACTAGAGAGAGTACGTTTAGCGATCCCACAAGGATTTCCACTTGGGTGGATGAGATTTTGAGATTCTCTTCGATGTAGAGCACAGCCCCACTCATCACTCCAATATCTTCACGAATTGAGCCAAAATTCAGAAACCCAAAACGCAAAAAAGCAAAAGAGAGACAAGGAACTGACCGTAGCCCAACAAAATGGAGTTGGTGGAAGCCAAAATGGAGCAAATTAAGGTGTACTTGTTGATCCCAAATCCCTTGGGTTGTAGTTTGGAGGCTTCTTCCACATCCATGGGTTCCATCGGAGTTGCAGCAGCGGCTTCCATGTCGGAGGGACTGTTGCCTTTTTTCTTGAATCAGTGGGCCGTTATTTGAATGGGCGAAAATGGAGCAGAGAAGAAGCTGTAATTGTGGTGCGTTCGGTTAGGTGAGTGGAAATTTAATTCTTCGGGGGGTTTAGTGATTGCCAAATCTGCATGAATGGCATGATATTAGGAGGAATATGAATTACACGTCATCTTTTGAATCTCCTAGTTTCGTATGAGCTGGAACTTACTCCCCACTCCTTTTATCCCCTTATGTAGAAAGATTCCATTATTTAGAGATTGTTTTCCATAATTAAAATCTTGGTAAGTTGGCATACAAATTAAGCATCAAAGCCTGGTGTTCATTGAATGCAGAGTCCATGCTTTCTTTATTGTCTTTAATCAATCAATGCCCAACTGCTTCACATTGCTACTAAATGCAGTATTCAAAGTATTATATCTGCAAAGTCTACCATCATTATTCTGCATGCAAAAGTCAAAATATAGTCTCATGATTTTTCAGAATACATACGTTAGAGAGAGATTTTTCGTTTCCCTGCCTAACCAATGTGCTAGCGAAGACATTAGGCCTCTAAGGAGTGAATTGTGAAATGTCACTTCAATTGGAGGGGGGAACGAAACATCTCTCATGAGGTGTGGAAACCTCTCCTTAATAGACGTGTTTTAAAACTGTCAAACTGCCGACGATAACGAATCAAAGTTGACAATATTTGCTAGCGGTGGTCTTTGACTATCACATCTTTGACCATGTCGTTTTATTTATTTGATTCTATTAGATATCAATTTCAAATTTATATATAATATATCGATTAACTTCTGTGCCAAAAAAGAGTTCCCAAAACCAGAGATGTACTGCTGCTAGGACTGAGGAGAATATTAGCTGTGCCAAGGTCTGATAACAGTTCATTGGCCAACCTGAGACATCAGCCAGAGCCTTAAAGAAATGGGAGAGAACTGCTAGCTAGTTTTAGTTTTCGCATTCTAATTGACAACACGCATACCTTTAACTAGTCATCTTAATAGAATCTTCAAATGTCGAACAAAGAATTGTGAGACTCAAAAGTGTAATTAAAAGTGACTCAAGTGACTCTTTGTTTGAGGCCTCCAGAGAAGGAGTCAAGTCTTGATTAAAGAGAAGATATTCGAGGTCTCCACCATAAACCTCGGGGAGGTTCTATAGTATACTTTGTTCGAGGGGAGGATTGTTGGGAGGGAGTCCCAAGACATCTGCATTAGTATGAGGTCTTACCATTGTAGAAGTACGTGATTCCTAACTATGATTGATCGGGGCCTCTCTAGGCGCTTCTGTTGCAGCTTTATTTCTCTTGCTCGTTATAACAGAGCTCTCCAACAATGAATTATATCAGATCCATATACAGCTGAACTAAGACTCACCCATGCAAGCATCTACTTTTTTCAAGTCAAAATAGGCTTCAGATTTAGCTTTCAATAAGACGTCCTATACAACTCAAATTATGCATACTAAGATGTTAGACGCTTGGCCAAAAAACCCTTCATCGTAGCACCTAAATCGAGCATTCACAATGCTTCAACGACTTCCAAGGTTCAAGATCTTCTGCTACTGCGCTTGGCTGAACCATTGCTTTGGGTGGATTGAAAATTGGCACCGAAATACCCTAAAACGCGTGAGGCTCCATCACCCTCCCTTTGCGACAAATTTCCATTTAGCTGGAATTACCCAACATGGAAGCGATGCTGACATCGACCCACAACGCCACGTGTCATCTCTGTCGTACAAGGATTGGGTTGCTTATCGTGTGGTCATCACAGTCCTTACTTTCCATCGACTCCTTAGATATTTCATTCCCTCTAAACTCTTCCAAAAATATCTCTCACAGCAATACCTTTTTCCCGGTGGCATTCTGTTATAAGAAATTCGCACTTTTTGTGCAACTCTATCTTCCATCAATGACTGCGCTTACGAGGCATCACGTCTACCCACAAAGTTTCGGGGTCCCAAGTTCCAGAGATGGGCACCTGATCGGAGCTCTCGGACGGGGAGTCCACCGGTTCGGGGTTGGAGTATCGACGAGCCGCAGTGGGTTCTGCTTGAGGAAGTGTAGATCGTGCAGAGGCGAGGATTGTGAAGGGAGGAATCGTGGAAATTCGAGGTTAAAAGAAGTGAAAACGAAGAAGGAAAGTGAGTTTTGGAAATTTTGGAGGTCTGGTGTTCTGGGTAAGTTTAATTTGGTTTTGGGGTCGGATGTTGATCGGGAGAAGCTTATGGCAAATATGGAGGGTTTGATTTCTACAGTGAGTGTTGCTGTGTGCTGTTGTTGTTATCTTCTTCTTAAACATTGTTTGAATCTCATGTTTTCTCTGTTGTAGTATCACTAACTGTAGCTCCTTTATTATCTATGATGAACAGGCTGCACTGCAAATTGGAAGATATATCGTTACCATGATGAGCACTGGTGTTGTACTTGCTGTTGGATTTCAGCTATCAGGTATATCCAAAAAAGTAACAAAGATGTCTCATTAAAATCGTCAATGTCAATATGGATTCTGTTTTTTGTGAAAATTATGAAGGTGGAGACAGTCAGATGAACACACTGATTTGGTATAGCTGGCTTGGAGGGGTTATTATTGGAACCATGATTGGTGCTAACATGGTATTAGAGGAGCACTGCAGAGCTGGTCCACGCAATGTTGTTATAACTGGAAGGTAACTGATCATTCCTCAGGGAGAATGTACACCACCTGGTCTTTGTTTTAATGCATTACATGGTGATAGGATTGATTGCTTGTAACAGTCCAAGTCTACCGCTAGTAGATATTGTCCGTTTTGACTCATTACATATCGTTGTCAGCTTCACGGTTTTAAAACCATTTGCTAGGAGAGGTTTCCACACCCTTACCTTCTTCAGGGCCCAGCGTCCTTGCTTGCACTCGTTCCTCTCTCCAATCGATGTGGGGATCTCACAATTTATAACAACCCAAGTCCAAGTCCACTACTAGTAGATATTATCCTCTTTGCGCTTTCTTTCAAAGTTTTTAAAACTCGTCTTCTAAGGAGAGGTTTTGCACACCCTTATAAGTTTCATTCCCTTCTCCAACCGATGTGAGATCTCTTGGATCGGCACACCGCCCAGTGTCCACCCCCTTCAAGACTTTGCATCTTCGTTGGCACACCGCCCGGTGTCTGGCTTTGATACCAATTGTAATAGCCCAAGCCCACCACTAGTAGATATGTCCGCTTTGGCTCGTTACGTATCGCCATCAGCATCACGGTTTTAAAACACGTTTGCTAGGTAGAGGTTTTCACATCCTTATAAGAAATGCTTCGTCTCCTTCTCCAACCGATGTGGGATCTCACCTTACTTTATAGTGTTCATTGTTGGCCTGTATTGTCTTCTTTTCTTATATCATGTGAAGCCTGCTATGCTAGTAACATGAAGACTCATATATGACACTGTTGTCTGTTACATGGATGTTTGACTATGCAGCACAAGAGGATTGGGGAAAGCACTAGCCAGAGAGTTTCTTCTTTCTGGAGACCGTGTGGTTGTGGCATCACGCAGGTGGTCTTCAGAAACAAAATAAAACTTCTGATACATAATGTCTAAACCTTTCTACTGACTTTTACTCACATCACATTTTCTTACCAATAATTTTGTGAAGACAGTCCTGAATCCGTTCAAGAAACTCTCAGAGAGCTGGAGGAGAACTTAAATGGTCTAATGCTCAGAAATGGTTCTTCCAATACAAGCCTGTCACATGCTAAAGTTGTTGGCACAACGTGCAACGTCCGCGACCCTGAAGATGTTCATAACTTAGCTGAATTTGCTTTAAACGAACTTGGTTCCATTGACATTTGGGTGAGTCATGAACTTACAGATTCATTATTTACCTACATTCTTCACTTGTCACAATCGTCACAATCGCACTTTTACTGATGAACAATCGCACCAAGAGATGCTTATTCAAAAACATTTAGTTTTAGATCATCAAGGATAAAATAAGGAACAGCTTCTCTCTTATTTTTCAATCTTGAATTTGTTTAATGTGACAAATCGTGGACAGATAAACAATGCGGGCACAAATAAAGGCTTTCGACCATTACTGCAGTTTACTGATGAGGATATTATTCAGGTGAAGTAAATTTGTGATTTCTGGATGTTTTCCCTAAGAAAGTGTTTGATGTTATAACTTATAAGTTGATTGGCTATTTGATAGATTCTCTCAACAAACCTTGTTGGTTCGCTTCTTTGTACACGAGAAGCCATGCGGGTAATGAGAAATCAGGCTAAAGGAGGGCATATATTTAACATGGACGGTGCTGGCTCTGGAGGTTCAAGTACTCCTTTGACGGCTGTGTAAGTTCATTGCATCCTGTAGTCTTATTTGGGGCGGGGGGTTTGGTTCGAATTCTGGATCGTATTCTCGTGTCGATGACACCATTTGGTTTACTGAACTTGTAGGTATGGATCAACAAAATGTGGTCTTAGACAGCTTCAATCATCTCTTTTGAAAGAATGCAGGCGGTCCAATGTAGGAGTACACACTGCATCTCCTGGCATGGTTTTGACAGATCTCCTTCTTAGGTGAATCAAGTTTCTTGTTATCAATGTTTTTGGTCTTGCGCACCTTGGAACAATCCTTACTGAATCTTAGCCTTCTAATACTTGTGGCTTGCATACAGTGGTTCAACTGTGAGAAACAAACAGATGTTCAACATCATATGTGAGCTTCCTGAAACAGTTGCTAGAACATTAGTTCCTCGGATGCGGGTCGTGAAAGGAACAGGAAGAGCCATCAACTACTTAACTCCTCCAAGAATCTTATTAGCTCTGGTCACTGCCTGGCTGCGACGAGGTCGGTGGTTCGACGAACAGGTAAGTTCAGTTTCATGATGGAAAGAATTCATTAAGAACCCAGCTGACCAAATGTGGAGGGGGATCATTCATCTAATCTGTAATATATTGCAGGGGAGGGCTCTGTATGCAGCGGAGGCAGACAGAATACGTAACTGGGCCGAAAACCGCACTCGTTTCTCCTTCACCGATGCAATGGAGATGTACACAGAGAACACCTGGGTGTCTGTCTTCTCCCTTTCAATCGTTTGCGCATTCATAATTCTCTCTACCACAACAAACAACACATTCCCTGGAACTTGATTTTCTTCGAATACAACACGAACCAAGAGAGCATTCGAACGTCGTCGGGAAAGCAGCATTGTTAGATACTGATAGGGGAGAAGAAAAGAGAGGAGAAAGGGACATTGTTAGTTGAGCTAGCCTCCTTGCACACTAAGGGAAAACCAACCCCCACTTCCTCTAGCAAATGTATTGACTGACTGCCTAACCGCAAACGCAGAGGCATGAAAAGGGCCTCTGGAGGCGTATTTATTTGTTTAGCTCAATGGACTGATCTGCATTGAAATGTAGTGTGTAAGAAGCCCACAAGAATTCAAGTAAAGTTGGTGCCTTTTTTAATACTCTGCGTGCGCGGCGGGACTTGGTCAAGTCAAATGCTTTGCCGGGTTCACAAATGGCTTCTGCTCTGTTCTGCCTTCCACGTTTGAACAAGCAACCACCGTCTCCATCTCCACCACTCTCTTGGCTGGCAGCCGGTGGGATATATATTTATATTGAAAACGTTGCAAGCAAGCTTATAATTCAAGACTAGCAAATATAATATTGTAATTTTTAATTCCCCCTCACCACACGGTCTTATTGTGGTCAAATTATTTTTGTCTCGTACCCGACGAATTTATGGCTTGATTTTGAGGGGGTTTGTGAGATTTTACCTGGCGTATCGGTTGGTTTATAAGTCGTTCAATGGTTCAGATGTTGAATTCTATGCCAATTGGCTTGAAAATGAAAATGTAGCTTAAGTATTCACTACAAGGATTATCATATTTTTAACCTCTATTCAAGTATATGAAACCAACCTTGGTATACTCCAAGTGAACGAGAATCAATTAATGTGACATTTTTATTAGTGGGTCTCGTCTTGAATTTAAGAACCTCCCTCCTTGGTTCCTCTCATAAAATTCATTATCATGTTCTCATTCCGTGTGTTCGTGGGCCTATCATAAGAATCATGCATCCAAGTCTCGGTATAAACTTCACTTTTCCACGTCAAAATTTAAGCCATACACGACTAATTGACTAAAAGATTAGGGAATAAGCGGAAGACGGATCTTCAAAATAAAATATTCTCTAAAATAAATAAATAAATAATAATAATGCTAAGAAAAATACATCAAAATTCAACCACATAAAAAAACATTTATGCCCTTCAATTATTAATCAATTATCACTTTTTTTATTATGTGTAATTATTAATCAATCGATAAGTATACCAAGAAAAGAAAAAGAAAAGAGTTGGATAATTTAAAATAAAAAGTATAATTGGATAAATAAAGTGTAAAATAATGAAATTAACGGTGGTTGTAAGAAAATAAATAAAGAAGTAATAATGGAATGTGAAAGAAGAGGAGAAATAAGCGGAGAAATTGGGGGGCCGTGTGGGGCCCGCTTATTTTTATAATTTAGTTTGGATTTTTGATTTTGGTGTGGGAGTGGACAGCTCACACAACGCCGTATTGGTAATTGTTTGGTACTGTGTTACAGAAGGAAGTTTCTTCCGTTGTGTGTCTCCGTTTCTAATCCTCCAAATTCCGCCATTGTTAACTTCTTCCACCTTCAGTTTCAGAGCGCCCATTAACCTCTTTTCTTTTTTTTTCTTTTTATTTATTTCTCTCTCTCTCTGTAACACTGATAATTTTAGGGGGAAAATGTCGTCTCCGAGCTCTCCGCCGGCGCCTAGTACGACCTCACCCCTACCTCCGACCACCGACGCACCACCCCCGGCGGAGCCGTCTCTCTCACCGCCGTCTCCTGACGCTGCCTCTCAGCCTCCACCTGCTACATCCCTGCCGCCTTCTACCACTCCTTCGCCGCCGCCTCCGGACAGTGCTACTCCATCCCCGCCACCTCCGGACAGTGCTACTCCTTCGCCGCCGCCTCCGGACAGTGCTACTCCATCCCCACCGCCTCCTGACAGTGCTACTCCATCCCCGCCTACTACTTCTCCTTTACCACCTACAGCTCCTAAGAGCTCTTCGCCGCCGCCGCCGGACAGTGCCACTCCATCTCCGCCTACTTCTTTACCGCCTACATCGCCTTCGGGCTCTTCGCCGCCGCCGCCGCCGTCGAATTCTAGTACACCTACGAGTCCAGGAGGACATGTCGCTCCGCCGTCGAATTCTAGTACACCAACGAATCCGGGAGGAAATGAGGCTCCGCCGTCTTTCTCACCGTCGTCGGGAGTTTCGGCTGGACTTGTGACTGGAGTTGTCATTGCTGGAGTGGTGGTGGTGGTTGCTGCGTTCATTCTTTTGGTTTTGTGTTTAAGAAAGAAGAGAAGACGTGACGAGGAGTCGTACTACCGGCCGCCGCCACCGGGGGCGTTTAAAGGTGAGCCCTCAAATATTCCAGATTCCTCAATTATGCCCTAAATGAAATATTGAAATCTAAATTGAAATTGATAGTTACGAACAATTGAATTTCAGATGGCCCATATGGTCCCCAACAGCACCACTGGCAATCACATCTGCCGCCGTTGCCGCCGACTAATCATGTCGTGGGGACAGTACCGAAGCCATCTCCTCCGCCAGCATCACGACCACCACCGTCTCCTTCACCAGCATCACGACCGCAGCCGTCACCTCTGACTATAAACAGCAGCGGAGGATCTGGATCTTATTATTCAGGGTCTGAATATTCGCATGCTCCTGCTCCTGCTCCATCTTCTATTCCCTTGGGCTACTCGCAAAGCAGCTTCACTTATGAAGAGTTAGCAATGGCGACAGACAGGTTTTCAGAAGCCAATCTCCTTGGACAAGGTGGGTTTGGTTATGTGCATAAAGGAGTCCTTCCAAACGGAAAGGAAGTGGCAGTGAAACAACTCAAGGCTGGAAGTGGACAGGGAGAGCGTGAATTTCAAGCAGAAGTGGAAATAATCAGCCGTGTTCATCATAGACATCTTGTTTCCTTGGTGGGGTATTGCATCACCGGCTCCCAAAGATTGCTGGTTTATGAATTTGTTCCAAACAACACATTGGAGTTCCACTTGCACGGTATGTTATGATCCTCAATCCAATCGACCCTTTTGCTATGGGCTGTTGAGGATCTTAACTCATAGGTAACTCCCATTTTGTAGGGAAAGGACGACCCACCATGGATTGGCCAACGAGACTCAAAATTGCTCTTGGATCTGCCAAGGGATTGGCCTACCTTCATGAAGACTGTAAGTCTATTGCTTTTGTGATGAGATGTGATCTGGGTTTGTTCAATGGCTTACATGTGATGTGATGTAATGTGCAGGTAATCCTAAGATCATTCATCGTGACATCAAAGCTGCAAATATACTTCTGGATCTCAAATTCGAAGCAATGGTAATAATGGGGGCATTCTGAATTCTCTTGAATTTGATTGATTCTATAAAGTGAGACCCAAATGGGTTTATGGCTGATGATATGTTGAATCTGATATCTAGGTTGCAGATTTTGGGCTTGCCAAATTGTCTTCTGATGTTAATACCCACGTTTCAACTCGAGTTATGGGAACTTTCGGGTATGATCATATGATCCAAGTTAGAATTCTAGTCATCAATCTACGGGATGATGATATCGTGAATTTCATATTTCTGGATTCTTGGATTTTGATGCCATGCTTACTACTCTATACAGCTACCTTGCTCCTGAATACGCTTCAAGTGGGAAACTCACTGATAAATCAGATGTCTTCTCCTTCGGAGTGATGCTTTTGGAGCTGATTACTGGGCGCAGACCTGTGGATACAACTCAATCATACATGGACGATGGACTGCTCGATTGGGTAAGCCCATTAGCCATTACCCATTTCTGTTGACCCTTCTCAGACACATCGGAAAACTAAATCAGCACATCTTGTCAATTTCAGGCAAGGCCATTACTACTTAGGGCCGCAGAAGATGGGAACTACGATGGTCTAGTAGATCCAAAGCTGCGAGATAACTACGACCATAATGAGATGGGTCGGATGATTGCTTGTGCAGCTGCCTGTGTGCGCCATTCGGCGAGGCGCCGGCCACGGATGAGTCAAGTGGTTCATGCTCTTGAAGGTGAAGCCTCGCTTTCTGATCTTAACAAAGGGGTTCAGCCTGGACATAGCACCGTCTACAGTTCTCATGGAAGCTCCGACTACGACACATCTCAGTACAATGAGGACATGAAGAAGTTCAGGAAGATGGCATTGGCAAGCCAGGAGTACGGCAGCGAGTACAGCGAGCCGACGAGTGAGTATGGTTTGTATCCATCTGGGTCGAGTGGCGATGGCCCAACAACAAGGGAAATGGAAATGAGAACAATGAAGACAGAAAGTGGAGGTTCTTGAAGCTCGTTGAGGAAGCAAAGCAAGTATTCATACACTAATATGTACAATCTACAACGCCCTTCTCTTTTTCTTTTGGATTTCTGTGATTGTAAGTTTGCCTAAAAAAACAGAAAAGCGTTTTGATTTAAGAGTAGATTAGATTTTGTCTACACAAAACAAGTTACAAAATGGATTTCAATTCTTTTATTTGTCCTCTATTGGTTCATCTAGTACCAACTGTTGTATAACGCCCTAGTTTGTTAATACAAGTAGCTAAGAGGGCTGGAAAGTATGATATGCAACCCTGTTATCTACGTCGACAAAAGGACATTTTTCTAGTCCTTGAGTATGTTATGCTGTCATCGATCAATAATGTATTAAATTAAAATTCATAACCAAGATATATAATATAACTACATTCAACCTGCTGAGTTCTACAAAAACAAACACATCATCATGCTAATTTCCAAGTAGTCTTGCCAAACAAACAATTTTGCATTCCAACGCATTTAGATCTCAATTCTCAAATATTTAACCAATTGGAAGTTGTCTAGCATGGGTTGAGATCCAGCGATCGAACTCTAAGTAATACAGTAATTGCTTCTTCAAATTTTCAACTCACCATTGTAACACATCTATTACTATGGGTGCTACACAACATTTACGCGTCTAGATTTTACATCAAAAATTCCTTCCTGGAAGGTAGGTATATTATACTTTGAAAACTACAAAATTTCTCCACTGACTAGAGATTGGAAAAACGTGCAGCAGATCCCGATCCTCTTCGTCGACGTCGTCGCTTCTGTCTAATTCGCCAAAAACTCAAAAGAAGCAACAGCCCTGAAATAGAAGAAACCAAGTCAGGTATACAATTCGAAAAAGGAAATCAAATCTAGGATCAACGGGGAATATATCACTGACCTGCGACTGCAACTACAGCAGGAACAAGCCAATGATTAGGAACAATCAAAGGCATGTCAGGCTGCAAGGAATAACAATTAACAGGAAATTATAAGAATCTCATCGATGTAGTAATATTGTAAGTCTCAATCCATTAGGAAAGTTGAACTCTCACCTCATCCCGGTAGAACAAGCTTAAGTATCGGTTTCCATATTTATCACTTCGGTCCTTTAAAGTCAACTTGGGAGGTCCCATCAAAGAACTTTCTGGAGTAGAATTCAAGTCTCTTCCCAAGTCAATTAAGGGAAATCCAGGCAGCCTTCTATTCCTTCCCCTGCCCTGTACGCTGTATCCCTTGGTACCCCATACTTCAAACCTAGAATCACTCATGCATATCAATTCCTTTCCAGAAACCGCAGAATA